TTAATTGTTTTTAATGATTTCAAAGAAGGGAGGGGGAGAGAGAAAATCAGTGATGAGAGAGAATCATTGATTGGCTGCCTCCTTCACACTCCACACTGGTGATTGAACCCACCATCCAGGCAATGTGCCCTGACTAGGAATCAAACCATAACTCCCTGGTTCAGAGGCCTACACTCAACCACTGATCCACACCGGCTGGGTACTGTGGCTGTGTTTTTGTGTCTGAATTGACGTTTCCTGGTACATATTCTTGTGACAGAGGATAAAGATCAAGGGCCAGTCCATTCAGCGTTTCTTAAGCTTTTGTTGGGACATGCTTGGTGTATGTCCTGTCAGCTCTCCTTGCACTGACCAAAGCAAGTCATTCCTTTTGCAGGGAGGCTCCACAGGTCCCATGGCAACAAGCAGGGACTTTCAGTGCCGCCCTGAAGGAGGTTTCTGATGACATTTTAACCATTCCTGATGGTTACAGTAGTATACATGTTTAGATTTATTTTGATATGCAGCACTCTTTTTTTTTTTTTTTTAATCAAATAGGAGTTTCTACAAGGAATTTGTCTTACCCCTGACTGTGAAGGTATCATCTCTAAGATTATCATCTTCAGCAGTGGTGGTCAAGTTAAATGTGAAGTAAGTATCTAATTAAGGGGAAATCTTATTAAATTGACAATGAGAGTGCTTGTACCTTTTAAAGCATGATTTAAATTTATGAAAGTTGTATGATTTGGATTTGTCTTTTCTAGGAAACAGTTTCTTAATTTCAGACAATATACAAACAATTAGGATGTGAGAATGCTTCTTTGCAATAAAGGATTCTCACATTCTTTTATTTCATAGCAGGAAAAGGAGGCTTTTACAGTTTAGTTTTACTGTTATCACTCTTTTTATAACCTTGTTTTCTTTATTCCCAGTAAACTTCTGGTTGTTTGAGAGTGAGGGTACTTAGGGAGGGGAGGAGTGTCTTAAGGGATTGATTACCTTTACCTGGTCTATATGGAGGTGGCAGGAGTGGGTTGTTATAATGATACTAGGGGCCCAGTGCATGAATTCATGCACCTTGAAAGCAGCTGTGGGCTGCAAGGCTGCAGTGGGCTCAGAGGCGGGTCTTGACCCATTCTCCACACCCCCGCCCGGCCCCTTCTTCCATGGCTGTCTGCCGGCAGCCCCACTCCCACCGCCGCCGCTCCCACACACTGATGGCGCCGGCCCGGCTCACACCCACTGACAGCGCGGAGCGACTGGGGCTGCCGCCAGCAGTGGGTGAGAGTGGGACCAATGCTGGTAGCAGGTGTGAGCCGTGGCTGCTGCCCCGATTGCCTCTCAGGAGTAGGGGGAGGTGGAGAAGCCCTTAGGGGCAATCAGGACCAGCAGCCGCCACCGCTCACACCTGCTGATGGCACCAAGTTTTCGGGGTCAGCTCTGGGTGCCAGCAGCAGGTGTGAGCAGCAGCTCCGGCACTGGTAGCGGGTGTAAGCGGGGCCAGCGCCGGCAGCAGGTACCAGCGCCTGGCGGGATCGTGGCACATGGGAACAAAGAATTTTCAGTAACCACTAGAGGCTCGCCCCAATGACAGCACCTTGGTCTTGCACCCCTGCTCACCTGCTCCACCATCCCACCACGGTCGATGCCTGCCATGTTTCGCACACGCCCCCTGGTGGTCAGTGCATGTCGTAGCAACCAGTTGTTTGGTTGTTTCGCTGTTCAGTCTATTTGCATATTAGGGTTTTGTATATATAGATTTGTAGTTTATTTGATCTCCGCTTTTAATTTGAAAAACATTTCTTGCTAAAGTGTGTGTACTCTCTCGTTTCTCTTTTCAATACATTATTTTACTAAAGTTTTCTGGGCTTTTGTCTGGGTCAGAGCATCATCACTGTTCTCTGCCAAACTGACCATTGACTGTGTGTGCTTCTGAAATGCTTGTTTCTTGTGGTTTTGTGCTTTATGTCCTGGGAGTATAAGACAAATTTCTGGTATCTTTGTTTTATTTAAAGTTTGAACACAAAGTCGTAAAAGAAAAGAAGGTTCCTTCAAAACCTATTCTGAAACAGAAATGTTCTAGGTAAGATTTTTAACAATCCATCACTAGCTTCATGATTTCTTTTACAATATAATTTCTAAATTATGCTGTTTTCGAATTGGCTGTGCACACATGTCCAATTAAGTGGTTTTAAAATGCCTTTTATGGATGTTTAAAATTTAAAGAGAACTAGTCTGGAATGGTTAAATACTGAAACTTGAATCATAGAGTTACTTAATGGTTGAATTTACAAGTAAAATTATGACATTTGATGTTGTGAAATGACGTTTCATTAATAGATTTGGCAGTTGGATAAAAATTGTATACTTAGCTCGCAGGTGTTTAAACTTTAATTCCAAAAGCATAGCTTCTTGTTATCTCTCTTCAGCAAACATTTTGAACCAGTGACTTATTTCTCACACTGAAATACTCAATGTACTGTCAAAATTATTTCCTTCTTTGTATTTTCTTGTTCAGATCAAATAATTTCAATGTTTTTTTGCTTTTCTTTTTGGTCCTGCCTCTTGTTTTCCATTCTAATAAGTGATTTTTTTTTCATCATTGGTGACCAAGAAAAAGCAAAAGAAAAGAGGAACAGACTTATTTGTTGAAGAGAATTCATTGTAACCATATTAACCAAATTCCGTAGTTGGGGCCATTATTGGGATGTGAAAATAATAGTTTACTGTGGGATCTTTTTTTTAAATAAGTGTGTACATGTATTATCTTGCAGAGTAATTTTTATTGTTCCTATTCACCTTAAGCAGTAACTTGTGAGCATGGAAATAATATCTGTGCCATCTGTATGTGCCATCCTTAGTGAAGTTCCTCAGTCCCCGAAGCCCTGGTTTTCATGAAACAAGTACTGTTGGTTTGACTGCATTAACCTCGTGTCAGCAACTTTTGATCTTGAACAGAAGATGCAGGCTAAGCTCTGACTAGAAAGGAACACTCCTAACTTACCGCTTAGAGAATGCTTTCTATAGTAGCCAAAGGAAAATAGTTGGATTTATAACCAGGGAATTATCACTAATTGTAAATGTTTATCAGCCTAGAGAAGCTAAGACTGAAAGAAGACAAAAAATTGAAGAGAAAGATCCAAAAACAGGAAGCAAAAAAATTAGCACAAGAAAGAATGGAAGAGGACTTACGGGAAAGTAATCCACCCAAAACGGAAGAGCAGAAAGGTATGCTGGAGTCCAAGGCATAATAACACTAACGTATTCTCGCCTAGACTATGAATGTGAATACTCATCCTACTGGGACTTAGGTTAATTGTTACTGAATTGAAATTTAGGTTTCCGTTAATATTTTAATACTGTCATGGGAGCAAATGGTACACAGAGCACTGATTTTGGAAGCAGTACACAGGGATTCAAAACACTACCTGCCACCAACCTGGGGCAGGCTGTGAGTTTACTCTTTGCTGAACTGAAGGTGGAAATAATGTTTGACGATGGTCTGTAGACTCCACTATGTGGATTTAGGTCCTAAAACTGTGAACTATGAAATCACTACTAATTATCTGAAATAATGCTGAGTTCAAATAAAGCTATTCCTAAAAGGTACCGTAGAGATTGCCTAGTACAGCCTTTTTGTTTTATGTTCATCTTGTCATCATTCCATGATCAATGTGGGAACATATCTGGTAATTTCACTATTTCTGTGGACATGTTGGTCTGTATGTATACTTCCAGATGACTGGAAGTAAGTTATTCTCATTTTCTACGATGGCCATCTATAAAATAAAATATTTCCTCTTGCTGTCTTTATTTTTTTCATCTAGTATTCCATTAATGTTTCACAAATGAACCAAAATGATCTTTCTTACTGAAAAAGTTTTCAGTGAATGTTGGTATTTTAACTTCGTGTGCTTCAAGAGGCTAAATGGCCATCCTGTAGGAAGATGAGTGGACAGGACGATGAACTTCTGAGATATTTTCTGACTAGTAGTCAATGAGTCCACAGGTCTGCAATTTAGGATCCAACAATAAGATGAATACTAAGAACTGCCAAATATTAATTGAATCTGTAACTGAATAAATGATCCCTTTAACTCCAAAAAACCCCTTAGTATTCTTAATGACTAAACATGTTTACTGGGTATAAGCATGTTATATTGGATATAAAATTTATAATTTTAGGTAGTTGATGAAGCTGGGTTAGATTGGTTGAGGGAAGTAACTTTATTTTAAAGGGATAAAATTTCAGATGTTACATGAGTGGTACAGAGTGAAGGAGATAAGGTACTTTTTCTGTGTTTTGTTGAACGTGAACTTCTATATTTTTTAAAGGTATTGTTAAATACAGGGTGGAGCAAAAACGTACCCTTGTGACTGAGCGAAACACAGAGTTTATTCTTGTATTATTATTTATTAATTATTGTATTATTTCCTATGTGAACAACTGTAAACGTACTTTTGCCCCACCCTGTATTTAGATTCCTAATTTAAAATTTGAGTTGTTTATTTAAAACAACATGAAGAATTCATCTGTGCCATGTTTATATTGCTCTGTAATGTTATAGCATTTCTCTCAAAGTTTCTATCTCTGCAGGTTGGTCCTATTTCTCACTGTAACTGACCGCTGTGGTTTATCCTTAGAAACGGTGGCCAGTGCTGAGAGCTGTCAGTTCCTGGACGACAGGATCTTGCAGTGCATCAAGCAGTATGCCGACAAGATCAAGTCCGGGGTGCTGAACGCGTCCACGCTCCTCAAAGAGCTGCTCTCCTGGAAGGTTTTGAGCACAGAAGACTACACAACCTGTTTTTCCAGCAGAAATTTTCTAAGTGAAGCGGTGGACTATGTCATTCGTCACTTAATTCAAGAAAAGAATAGAGTCAAAACAAGGATATTCCTGCATGTTTTGAGTGAACTTAAAGAAGTGGAGCCAAAATTAGCTACTTGGATCCAGAAACTTAATAGCTTCGGTATGTCATTCACTTTTAGAGATGCAGTTTGGTAGAAAGGACACATGTGGGCCTCAGAGTCTTTTTTTGTTTTCCTGTCATTATTTATGACTTTTTTTAAAGTAGGACTACAAATGGGTATGGTTAAAAATACTGTTTTTCCAACTCACAATTTATAGCTTATTTTACAGAAAGGTTATAATATATACTTTCAAAAGGTGTAAACACAAAAAAGTTTAGTCAGTTAGAAAATCCAGTCCCGTATTATGTTAAGTATTTGTGAACGTGTGAAATGTAAGAACTGTAAATACCGGGCCAGCCATGGGTACATAGCACCCCTGTCCACCCCCTGTTGTGCCCTCTGGGTTCCTGTGGTTCAGAAGTCTGATTCCTTAATGGAAAAGTTAGAGGGAAGAATGGATGGAATACTTGCTTAGGATCACCCTCGGCAAATCTGTGCTCAGGACTAACCATCTCTAAGGATGAGGAGAGAAGTACCTGTGTTGTTGTAAACCATGGGATTATAAAACTGTTCCTCTCTCTTGGTTTTCCTGGTTTGGCTGAGGAAGGCCCAACCAGGCTCTCTGCCCATGGCCCTCAAGCAGGCACTGGGGAAGGCGGCTGCAGGCAGAGTTGTCTAACCATTTCCTGTTTTAAAGGGTATTTGGGAATATTACTTTTTGTGCATATTACTGATGTTTTGTTACTATGGAATATGTGTAGTAAAGCATTATAAAATCTTGCTAGTTTGTACTGATTGGAATGAAAGTCATTATCAATTAGTGAGAAGGTTATTGCTGTATTTGTAAAGGAATTTAATTCCTTTTTCTAAGTTTAATAAAAATAACTAATAATAGAAGCCTTTGGGCCACTATATTCAACTAATAGATATGAATTATTGCAATTAGCATGTCCATGTTAAGTGGTGTTTATGAAATGTATGATAGCTTAAACAAGTTTATTCTCAAGTATTTACATGTTCTCACTGCAATTGTAAGCAAACTGTAATGGAACCATTTCCAGGATGTGAAGGTGAATGTAGTTTTGCAGTAAGTGGTTTTCCATCTGATTTGGGTTTTGTTTTTATCACAGGCTTAGATGCCACAGAATCTTTTTTTTCTCGTTATGGAGCATCTCTCAAGGAGCTAGATTTTAGCATCATGACTTTTCTCTGGAATGAGAAGTATGGTCATAAACTAAACTCTATAGAGGGAAAGCAACTTGACTATTTCTGCGAGTCGGCATCATTGAAGGAAGCCCGGTGTCTGATTTGGCTGCTGGAAGAACACAGAGACAAGTTCCCAGCCTTGCACAATGCGTTAGACGAATTCTTTGATATCATGGGTATGTGGGTCGAGTTTCAGTTTATATTATACCTAAACTTGGGGGGGAAATGTGTATTTGTGGAGGGTAGTGATTAAGAATAGTACTTTTTTTCATGTTAAAACCTTTTTATTCTATGGAACTCAGTGTTGTGGACATATTCAGATCACTGTTCTCATCTTAGATAGTTTGACAGTGTAGTGGCAGAGATTGCATGTTGACAGAATTTATTACGAAATGGGTTTGATCTGGAGCGGTCAGGAAAATGGCTGCAGGAGGTGATGTTTTCAGAACCTAAAGCGGACAGACGGCACCTCTGCTGTGGGAGGAGTGGGAACCGCGAGTCAGGAATAGTGGGCTCTGGCTCACTTCTCCCTCATCCCTTAGAAAGCTTGTTTTTACGCTGCTTTGCGGCCATGCTAGGTGTTAACAAGGAATTCAGGAATGCTTCAGCTCTTCCCTGCCCTCAGGACCTTTTGCTCTTCAAAAGGGAATAAGATGAATATACGTATAATGTGGGGGTAAGCCCAGTGAGAGAAGAGTGGGTAAGTGGGTTCAGACGTCGGAGTGAGCACATGCATTCTCCCGGGAGGAGGAAAGCCTGGTGTGGGGGTGGGGTCCGAGCTGGAGGTGGAATTGGACAGAGTGACCTCCCGGCCTAGAGAGGATGGAGGGCAATCAGGGACCTGTGGGTAAGGGCTCGGAGTGCAATTTGGCTGAATATGATAACTGGTGGTTAATTCTTTAGCTTCTCTTGATTCATAGCTTCTTCATCATTAAAATAAGAGAATTTGGAGCCAGTGATCTGTGTGGTCCCATTTTGCCTAAATTATAACATTTTAGATTCTAAATTAATTTTAATTTCTTATTTTTGCTACTACATGTATGTCTTAGGGTAATGCCTCTCCCCTTCCCCCATCATCAGAAGTTGACTTTATTGTTAGGCATTAGACTTGGAAATTTCGTGGTGTTTGTTTTAAAATGTACATTAAAAGTCTGGCCCTGTACAAAAATGTCACATGTTACAAAGTTCAAATGCATGTAAGGAACCAAAGGCTTGCTTTTGCTGTGGTTCTTGTGAAGGGCACACCCACGTAGGAAGGCTTTATTTCTCCAGGACTCTCCTCATGACTGGAGTGACAGGGCACAGACAGCCTGAATGTATTCCATCAGTTTGCTGCTGCTGCCAAGAAAATGCTGTCTCCGGACTGAGCTTGCACAACCCAATGCATGTTTGGGTCACACCACCGGACAACTGAAAAGGACACAGTTCCCACTGTGTGCATTTTTCTGATTCTGGTGTTCTGTACCTAAAATGCACAGACCACCGGGCTGTAACCCATTCTCTGCTCTCGGCCAGAGGATCGGAAGCCAGCAGCAAATGACTGGCCAACAGATTTTCAAGTCCCGTAGCTCTGCCTCTCACCTTTACCCTGACATTTTCAGTTTCCTCTCCTTTCATTAGAAGTACTTATATTTCTTTAAAGTTTAAAAGTCCATGGATCTTGTAGATAAAGATATTCACTGATGTCACCAATGCTATGGTAGTTGGGAGCCCCAGCCTGCCTCCTGAAGTCTGGGTGCATTTTCCCTGTTGGAATTTCTGTGTAGAAAGCCAAGAGGTCCCTTGAGAGCAATGTGTCTGAACTCGTTTACCTCACTTACTGAATTTATCTCGTCAGTAACATGGTTATATATCCGGTTTTTAAGCAGGAAGCCTGGAATTGGTCTCGATTCTTCCTTCTCCCTATTACTCCATACCTCGTTTGTCAGCAGTCCAAATGAGCTTCATCTTGGGTATCTCCTTCCCTGTCCATCCCACTTCCTAGCCAGGAGCGCAGTAGTCTTTCCATGCACTAGTCAGTAGCCTCCAAACTGGTCTCCATACCTAGACCCTCCCCCTCCAAATCTTCCTCCTACGTTGCCTCTAGGGCAGTGGTTCTCAACCCTCCTAATGCTGCGACCCTTTAATACAGTTCCTCATGTTGTGGTGACCCCCAACCATAAAATTATTTTTGTTGCTACTTCATAACTGTAATTTTGCTACTGTTATGAATCGTCATGTAAATAACTGATATGCAGGATGTATTTTCATTGTTATAAATTGAACAAAATTAAAGCATAGTGATTAATCACAAAAACAATATGTAATTATATATGTTTTCCGATGGTCTTAGGCGACCCCTGTGAAAGGGTCGTCATGACCCACAGGTTGAGTACTGCTGCTCTAGGGACTCTTGAGGAACATCTGTCTGATCCTGTAACTATTCTCTTTGGGAAGCACTTGCTTAGTTTGCCTACAGATTAAATTCACATCATGTATCTGGGCTCTTCGTCACTCTACCCATCTGCCTTCTTTTTTTTTTAATATATAGTTTATTGATTTTTCTACAGAGAGAAAGGGAGAGAGATAGAGAGCTAGAAACATCGATGGGAGAGAAACATCGATCAACTACCTCCTGCACATCTCCCACTGGGGATGTGCCCGCAACCCAGGCACATGCCCTTGACCGGAATCGAACCTGGGACCCTTCAGTCCGCAGGCCGACGCTCTATCCACTGAGCCAAACCGGTTTTGGCCCCATCTGCCTTCTGAATCGACACCACACCAATGACTGTGTCCCAACCTGCACTGTGCTTTCCTGCCTCCTGTCTTTGCTCATCCAGTTCCTCCAGCCACATCCTACCCCGTTGCGTGTTCATTTCAAGCCCCTTCCTCCCCAAAGCCCTTGCTGATCCCTCTGGGCCGCTTGAAGACTTCATTATTCCATCAGCTTTGCTCCCATATATTTATTGTGGACAGAGTTAGCACACTGGGTGGCAGGCATCTGCCTGGTTGTCTTTTTTGTAGAAACAGGTGTGTGGGTGGCAGGGACTGATTTGTGCATCTCTATTCCCAACACCTGGCATAGAGTTTGGCACCTAGAAGGCACTCAAATTATGCTGAAATGGGTTGAAATTTTGTGGTTCTTTGAAGCTGGTCTCCCATTTAGTTAGCCATTTCACCCTTGCCTCCTAAACTAGACTTGTGTCAAAGCCAAATGAGGCATAGAACATAGTCTGTGTCAGTGTACCTGGGGTGGTTTTCTTTAAAGCTACAGTGCAGGGGTGGGGAATGTCTGGCCCGCCAAGGCCCGAGTAATCATGTGGTCTGGCCCTGCCAAGGCATTAGGGATGAGTTAATTGAATGTTTGAACAAATAGAGCTGGCTAATTTTTAAGTTGATAATTTGGTGTGACCCACGAATGATGTTGTAAATATCCAAATGGCCCTTGGCAGGAGAAGGGTTCCCGCCCGTTTTGGTGTATTATATGGCGATGTTAATGCTTCGCTTGCTCACAAAACGGTCTCTCTTCCTGCAGACAGCCGCTGCACTGTGCTGAGGAAACAAGACAGCGGGGATGTGCCAGTGAGTCATTTGATCACTTTAAATGCTGTGTTCTGGTTTGTGTTGGCCAAAGGAAGGGGAGGACCCAGGCCAGTGTGGTTCCATCCTCGGTGGCACTCCCAGAACCCAATCTGGAGGACTTCCCATAACGTGCTGTTACATTAGGAAGTTAATCCCAACCTGCCCCTGGAATTGGAACAAATCAGCAAACGCTGAGGCTTACGTTAGACAACGGCCTTAAAGTCTCACAGCTAATAAATGTTCGTCTCAGAAACAGGAAAGCAGTTCTTGGATAATCCCCGCGCATAAAAATGAAAAGTTATCTGTAATTGTGAACATTTTCATGTTTTGCTCTTTAAGAAAAATAAAGGGACTTTGTTTTGAGTGCCTCCAAATTGAGTTTAACTTAGAATAATGCCAGAGTTGTCTTCCTTAGTAGGTTGTAGCAGTTTTCAAACAGAAAATTGCTTGTTTACTTGACAGGATCAAGTCATCTATACTTGAAGTTTTGTCTTAGTCCATCTGTCAAGTATTGCCTAGCTACACTTGGAAGCACAACTAAGACCCCTGTGAGAGGTCACAGATTCTCCTAAGTGCACTGCCCATGCTCCTGTGTCTGGCCAGGTGCACGTGTCTAGTTTGCCTAAGTAAAAGGAAAATCATTAAAATACTATCAGCACGTACCTGGAATTATCGTAAAAGTCTGATATAAACTATTGAAAATGAGTTCAAAATGTTGGAACAATGTAATTTTAGTTATAACATTAGGCAACATTAAACTTTTTTTAATTTCTGTTATAAATCATAACAATAGGGCTGACACACTATAGTGTTATTTTTGTTAAACATTTTATGTAATTCAACTTATGACCAGTCTCAAAATCATGGTATAATACATGGTAGCTTCGTACTGCTGTTACTTGAGTGTTCAGCGATTTCCTTTTCCTTTTTTAGTTTAATCCTACCAAGATAAAAAACAAAGGCAAGAAAAAGAAGCCAAAAGATTTAAAGGTATGGAGTATTTTCTGAGTTAATTCTTAGGTAAAATAATTTAATGTGTAAGTTAGAAGTAACGAGTTCTTGGGATATTTTGAAGCATTTTATTGAGATGAGTTTCTAGGCTTTAAAGATATTTTGGCAGTCTTCTACATTTTGAACAAATTCAAGGTTCATATTGTACCTAAGTAACACTTAAAAGAAACTTATTTTTATTGTCCTTTTTATTTTCTGAAAATTTCTGAGTAAAGACAATTTTCATAATGTGGAAATTTGTCTGGGTGGTTCTAGAACAGGGTAACCAAGACAGCTTTGGGGTCAGCTAGACCTGAATTTATAGCTTGGCTCGTGACCAATTATTGTGATTTTTATTGCTGTTTCTGTTATCTCTGTGACCTTGGGCAAGCTATTTGACTTCCCTATGCCCTAGTGTTACCATTTGTATGATGACATGATACCTCTTATCAACAACAAAAATATTCAAAATAAAAGGGGTAAATACTAACCATTAAAGCAGAATCTCAGACTTGAGAGGCTCCCTTCCTTCCTCTCACCCAAGGCCAAGCTCTAAACCCATGAGTTCACTAGTGGGCTCTTCATAGCTCTCATGTATTTGAGGGCTCATGTTGGGGGCAGGTGTGGAAACAGTGAACAAATATTACAGGAGGATGAGAGCAGTCAGTAAAATTAATGGGTCCTGACTGGTTTGGCTCAGTGGATAGAGCGTCGGCCTGTGGACTGAAGAATCCTAGGTTCGATTCCAGTCAAGGGCACGTACCTTGGTTGCAGGCACATCCCCAGTAGGGGGTGTACAGGAGGCAGCTGATTGATGTTTCTCTCTCATCAATGTTTCTAACTTTCTATCCTTCTCCCTTCCTCTCTGTAAAAAATCAATAAAATATATTTTTTTTAAAAAACTAATGGGACTTTTAAACTGAGTGACATTTAAATTTTTTGGGAGTGTGGTAAGCTACCTAAATGTTAATTTGGGCCTATTTATGGTTGTTGAAACTTTTATTATTAATGTGTTCCTATTCAAAAGACAATTTAGATATGTTTCATATATTGTCAATTTGCATGCTTATTTATGTAAGCAGTCATCAGTATTAATGGCAATTTTAAGGTAGAACATTATTGTCATTCTTCTGTCTTTTAAACCAGCCTATGTTAGTTGGGTCTGGAACAACTTCAGTAACACCTAATAATGAGACTATCGCTTCAGGTGAAGACCATAAGTAAGTACAGTTTTTAAACTTTTGCTTCATTTTAACTCAAGTGTTTTAAGCGATGTTAATTTAATGTACTTTACATTTGTGCTTTCCCTAACTTCTCTGTCTAAAGATATGCATCTATGACAACAACCTTATGTGACCATCTTGGTTGAATTTATAGCATGGCTTGTCAATGTTGAAAATTCATAAAAACTGCATTAAAATCACAAGGTTGCCCTAGCTGGGTGGATCCATTGGTTGGAGTGTTGTCCTGTATACCAGAAGGTTGTGGGTTAGATTCCCATCCATAGCACTTACCAAGGTTTTAGGTTTGATCTCTGGTCAGGGTGTGTACGAGAGGCAACTGATCCATGTTTTTCTCTCCCTTTCTCTCTAAAACCAGTTAAAAAAAAACATATCCTCAGGTGAGGACAGTGAAAAAAAAAATAAAATCACAAGGCTGATGATAGTCACTTGATAAGTGTGAGAACCTACTATGTGCAAGATACTATGGGGCAATCCTAGAAAATGTTCTTTAAAATGTTCATTGAAGAGAATGTTCTCTTGATAATTACTGGCATATTTGCTAAAACAGGAGAAATGGAGATGTTTTGGAAGTTATATATGAGGCAATAGTTTAACCTTAAATGTTAGTGATTTTTAATAACATCTGGTTGTTGAAGCTAAATTTTGAAGAAACAAATAGACATAAGTAGAAATAAAACTAGTCAGTAGCAGTGACCTTTATATATCATATTCTTTTCTGGGCTAAAAAACACACCTAAAAAGTTTGAGGTTTTTTCTACATTTCTTAAAGAGGTTGTGTAACAGTTGTTTTGCACAGTCATTTTCATAGATTCTTTAAGTGGAGAAATTGTTTAAAATTATAATAGCCTATATTTATATTACACTTATACCAGGCATTATTCTAAGAGCTTTCCATATAGTATAACTCATTTAATCCACTCTTTCACCCTAGGAGATAATTATTATTATGTTCATTTTATATGTAAGGTAACTAATGCACAGTGTAGTTGCATGACGTGCCCAAGGACACAGCTTGTAAATAGCAGAGCCGAATTTTAAACCCAGCAATCTGGTGGAGAGCCCACACTCAAACTGCATTTTGTAGAGTGCTAAAATCAACCCCTTTAAAAACAAATCTTTTTCTTAAGTACCAGTCTCGATTTCACTTTAAATTAATAGCAGTTATAAGAAAACTTTCATTGTTCACTATAACAAGTTACAATCAATGCAACATTGATTCTTTTTATCTTTTAAACCCGGGAGTTTTAAAAAATGTGCTCTTGGTAGCAAGAATAAGTAGGTAATTAAAAGTGCTTATTCAGTAGTCAGGCGCATCTACTTCTTGACTGTAATTGTGGGAGGTAATTTCCCTGCATTAAATTCTCTGGTAGCAGGTTTTTGGTTTTTTTTGCATCATAATACCACATAACATGTTAATATCTTTATGTTTATTTCCATTTAATGTTGGTGAGGCAAAAGTAGGTTTGTAGTTGTGAGTACATGAGACAGAGTTTATTTTTGTATTATTATTTATTAATTATGGCATTATTTTCCATACAAACAACTGTAACCTACTTTTGCCTAACCCTGTATTATTCTCGGTCACCTAAAGCAGGGTCAATTATTAAAAAAAAAAAATTTTTTTTAAATCAACAGACGCAATTCAAATTCCACAGGCCCGTTTGTAGTGCCTGACCACCTTCGGCAAGATGTAGCAGAATTCGAAGCTCTGTATGGACAGCACAGCAATGAGTATGTTGTCCGTAAAAAGAAGCTGTGGGACATTAACCCAAAGCAAAAAAGTTCAACTCTGTATGAGTGAGTAGAATGTTTCTACAACAACTATTTTATATGGGGGCTGCCAGTTAAAGGTGTTGTTTAATTTGTGTCTCAAATGATTATTAAATGAATCAATTGATGGCTTGTAAACTCTGGGAAAGGAAAGCGTTTTTATAGCTTTTGTTCAGTATTATACAAATAAAACTGAGGGTTTTTAATTATTAAATTTAAAATCCTAATGATTATTTTGTCAGTTTGAGTTGCTAACGTGGATACTTCCTGCTTCCAAAACTGTCCTGCTACGTCCTGATAGGACTGATAAAAGTTTCCAGCCATGAACGTTTCACCATGAATTTCAAGTTACACATTTGACAAGGGGGAGAATGATTATGTGATCTCATTGTCCTTATGTTGATGGATGCATCTGTTTGGCATCTTATAAGTCCAGCGAGTAGCTTGGTGAAGTGTTAACCTTTTACCTGGAAAAGGATGCCCAGATCTTATTCTTCCGCCTGATGATGGCTGTTTAGCTGGATGACCCTGTGTCCCTGCATGGTATCGGAGACTTGACCTCCTGACATTAACCTAATAAAAGAGAAACTGACTTTCCTTTTGAAGTAACTTGGGTGTGAGTTACTTTTGGATTGAAAATGTGGATGTTAAATTAGCACTTAAGGCGAGTGTGAGTGGTTATCCTATATAATAAAACCCTAATATGCAAATTGACCAAACGGCAGAATGACCAGTCGCTATGACACGCACTGGGGATCGGGCCTAAGCCAGCAGGTGGACATTCCCCAAGGGGTCCCGGACTGCGAGAGGGTGCAGACCAGACTGAGAGACCCCCCTCTTCCCGCGCCCCCCC